TGGCAGGGGGGTTGGAACTAGATGATCTTTAAGGTCCCTTCCAACCCAAACCATTCCATGATTCTATGATTTCCCCTCTCCCTGGCTGGCTGCTCCAAGGGGAAGAGACCTCATTGCCCAGGGGGGCTGTTTCGGAGCCGGGCCGTGGCTCCTGAGCAAAGCGGTGCCGTCCGGGAGCACACACCAGGCACTCACCTGAGTTTTGGAGTAGACGGAGCCCGAGATGTCTGGCACTCCTGTGTTACTGGATGTCACGGATACACCTGCGGAGAGGGGGAGGCCAGTGAGCGTCAGGCAGCAGCCACCGGTTCAGGCGGTGGAGGGCTCTAGTGGTCCGGCAGCCGGCTGAGGTCTGGAGACAGACAGCGTCCTGCGGAGCAGGGTCTTGGCACGGCCAAGCTGCCCCGTGCCCGTACGAGCGTCCGTTCTTCTCCGGACACGGGCAGTTCCCGAGTGTCCCCAGAAACGGGTTTAGGGCCCTGCTGCCACCCAGACAAAGGCACGTCCACGAAGAGCCCAGAAAACAGTGACTCTGAGAAGAGCTGGGGGGGGCAGCGGACAGAGAAGCTCCCAGCACAACACGGTAACGGGAGCATCCCAAGAGCTCCCTGGACATGAGCCAGTCGCACGGGAAGGCGACTCAGCTGCGGGCTGGGCTGGTGGGTGCTGTGATGGCGGCGCTGGCACCCAGCCCGCGTCTGACGCCCACCGTTTCCAGGGGCGGTACAGAGGAGACCCCCAGCAATCCTGCACGGCCCGGGACAGCGTGGAAACAACAGAGGTTTGAGAGACTCGGCTCCAGGTGACCTGGTACAGAGCTGAAGTATCTCCATAAGGAGAAAATGGTGTTTTGAAGGGCTCTGATGTAGTAACAAAAGGCACAACAGGAATTTGAGGGCTGGAAGAGGGATCCAAACCTTTTTAAGCCCTTTGTAAGCCCAGACATTCACCTGTCAGTCCCAGTACCGAGACAAGCGTCAGGTTCACCACCTTCTTGCACCTTTCCATGGAGAACACTCTAGAAAGCATGCATCTGCCTCCCACAGGAGCCAAGCAAGTTCCCAGGCTCAAATCTGGAATAATTCTTGTTCTACTGATCACATACGGGCAGTAAAAAAACCCCACCCCACAGCAAAACCCCAACAGCTGCTGAGCTCTCAATGAGAGTCAGAGGCCACAGCCATCAACTCTCAGAGGAGGGCACAAAGTGCTCCGTACTCCTCAAACCTGCTCCGGACCCGGATGCGGAACAAAGCTGGGCCTTCCCAAGGAGAATCAAGTGACTTGCAAGCTGCACCACGGCCACTTCCCTCCTGCACTGCTGGAGGCAAGAAGCCAGCAGCCGCCTTACGCTGCCCGTGAGGCTGCAAACAAGCCCTGCCAGGATGGGTACCAGCTGCTGAGGTGCCGTTGGGGGTCTCACCAGTGCTGTATCCGTGAGAGCCATAGCCGCTGGGCTGCTGGAAAGGGGTTGCTGATGCGTTGACGCTGACATTCACACCATGCTGCTTGGAAGAGGTAGGAGCAACCTATGGAAAGGACAAGCGGAGTGAGGAGAGGCTTGGCTGCGTCGCCCTCCTGCCCGAATCCCACACCCTGCCCCCAGGAAACTCACAGGGAACACGGCGGGCCCGTACTGGAAGGTGCTGGGGAGCCCTGGTACCCCTGTGTAGTACGGCAGACTGGTGTAACTGTAGCCAGGAGGCAGCGCTGGGTTCAGGAACGTCTGCTGCGTGGTGTGGTGAGTCTGGGTCTGGCTCTGCTGCGGCTGCGCCAAAGTCGTTGCAGGAGCGGGGGAAGAGGCATCACCTCGGCCAAATTTTGTTAAGTCACCTGGAATGCAGGAGTTGAGACTAAGACAGATCCTGGCCCCTTCTAGCTCAGCCCAGAGCCTTTTGATCAACGCTGATTTGAATCAATCCCCTCCTACAGCTGCTAAGGACATCAGCCCTCAGCCCCTCACACCTTGATAAGGCTAAGCTGTTAATTGCTCTTCTCATCACCAGGACTTCAGAGGGGAAGGGAAACCCCCAGCAGCTCCACGGCAGCCCAGACGCCGCAGCTCCCTCCGGAGCCAGACCAGGGGCCCCTGTCCTACAGCAAACAGCTCCTCATTAAGAGGAGAGTGGAGTATCTCCCGGCTGAGGATGTGTGAATGGCCCCTTTTTACAGCAGGGCTCACACCTCTCTCTTGCTGGCAGCACCAAATCAAATGCTGCTGCAGAGCACTATATCCCTCCCTCCCTCCCCAGCCTGGGTGCTGCGGAGGGCTGGGGGCTGCTCCCTTTGCTGCTCTTTGCTAGCACCTGCTTGGCTCTTCACACAAACACACTCCCCATTCAGAGTTCCCACAGTAAGCCAGTGAGTTTCTCGGCGCTGGCCCAGCGCACAGCCAAGTCCAGCACAGCCAGAGACGTTAATTATCACCCATGTTAACTTGGCAAATCACGCACGCAGCGGCGCCGCGCTCCGAGCTTGGGATTTTGGCCTCAGCACGCCGGGAAAAGCTCTTCCGCGCAAACAAGCTC